AAGTGAGGACGCACCCCCCGGGGAATACACTCCTCAGGGCGCGGCTCCACCGGTGGTTTGTCGCCGGCCGGACGCGATGAAGAAGCATTTTCCTTTTGTGGAATAGTTTTTGACGTTTTTGCCATTTAGATTTAAAGTTAAAAATAGATGGAGATAATAGGACTTGGCGTTTGAGAAAGGAATAACAGCAAAACCTGAAGATTTGTAAAAGGGAAGAACTTAAGAAATGTAAAAGCTTTGGAGATTAGAAGGAAGTGAAAGTAAAGTTTGAATCAATGAGGAAGGGGTCCATTTATTGGATTCACGGCGATGGTTCAAAGGCACTAGTGGCCGACCACCAACTAACACTCATTAATAACTTGGGGAACTGTACCGACGGGACGTTTCGGTCACTTCCGTCTCTTACGTCACGACGGTGACGTCATGGCAGGTCGAGGTAAAAATCGAAGGCTCAATTCGTTTCTTGTCATTACACTCCAAAAAATGAGGGGACCATTTGTATACAGTTAAAACCGAGCCTGTCCAATTTAGCTTTGACCGGGACCAGGAAGCTGCATCAAGGGTCGGCCCCGTAGTGGATCAGACCAAAGTATGAGGACAAGGTACCGAGTTCAGGATTCAAGGTACCTGTCGAGATCGGGGCCGGCAGCGATCGAGACCGAATGAGACAAGTATCGAGCAAGATCAAAGATAACATAATAACGAAAATGCGAAATATCCGTGACTGGTCGAGGATCATGGCGAAAATCTCGGAGCAGATCAAATTAGAAATGGTTAATTAGCTAATCATGGGATTTTCTTATGTAATTGGAGTTATACCATAAGTAGAATTCCTCTACTATATAAAGGGGAGTATTAACCATTTGTAAGACACATTGTTCTCGCATAAAAAAGCCAATATAACGCTCTCTTTTTAGCTTATACTCTCTTGTTCATCAGCTTGCTTTATTTTTAATTATTTTGGTATCAATTAGTTCGAGGGCACCCTAGCTCGAGGCCTGAGTTCCATTCTAGCACCGGTTTGCTTTACTATATAGTTTATTTCTGTTATTAATCTTCATATTTATCAATTGGTATTAAGTAAAATCACGTGTACTTAGAACCTCATTATAAGTTTAATTGTTATCCAATTTTAAGGTTAAACAATTATGAAACCTTATACTAGCTTTTGCAAGGGATTATGCTGAGTATAAAAAAATGTTGGATGATTTCTCTTTGATAATAGAGCTACTCGTGCTGATGGAAGATATTCCTCCATTTTAATTTATGTGTCTTACTTTTCTTTTTAATCTGTTTCAAAAAGAATATTTATGACATATTTAAGACCACTTGAAGGACATTTTGGAACATTTAGTTAATTGTCTGCACCTTGTGCTCAGTTCTTTTGCTGGTGATGTCACTGACACTTTATGTCAAAGTATGGGAGCCTTCCGTTATAACTCTTTTTCAGTCGTTTGCACTGAAATACCTTTGCAAATTCAGTCGGGAAGGAGTCATTGAGAGCAAGAGGAAATTTTCACGTACTCATTTAAAGTTTATTTGATAAACAACAACTGCTCTACATCAGCAAGCCAAGTCATGCTTATCCCATTTCAACCAAAGATAAATTTATCCATGCAAAGGTCCACCGTCATACTTCAGGATTGCTTTGCTTTTCCATCAGTCAAATTAGTAGAAGAGATATATTTAGACATATCAAGTGTTATTACTCTGAAGAAAGATCTTTGTGGTAATATTTTGAGTTTTCTGTCACTTTGAGACTACAAAGATCCCTTAGGATATATAAGATTAGTGTTAGCTTGAGATTTGAGTTCGAGAAGAACACTATCAAGAAGATTCCCCTTGTCCTATTCTTGTTCTTGAAACTCTGATTTTGACAATTTACTTTGTAAATATCATATGTCTTAGAATTGAAGTCTCTTGACATGTTTGGGAGCTTCGTAATTGTGGCTCAAGCCCCAAGGAATCGATTTAGTGGAGAAAAAAAAATTACGACGTTCAATCTCAACATGTGGCCCCTCTCTCTTTCCCCCTCTCCCCCTCCCCCTTCAAAAACTAAAAAAAGATGGAAACACCCAAATAAATATGGAACAAAATAAGAGAAACACTTAGGGTGTGTTTGGTATGAAAAATTTTAATTTTTCCATGTTTGGTGGGTTTAAATATTTTAAAAAATATTTTTTCCATGAACTCATTCTCCTTCAGTTGCGAAAAATAAATTCTCTACCAAAAGGAGATAAAACCTTTTCCAACCTTCCCTACCCTATACCTCCCACCCACCCCTACCCANACCCCTGCCACTCCCTACCCTCACCACTGTCACCCCGACCCCTAGACCCTGACCTACCACTCTCCCATGCTCTTAACCATTTCGTATCACATAGTATTTGCCTAAATTATATATTTTTTAAAAAATATTTTTTTTTTACTATTTAACCAAACACCAGAAAATAAGTAAGAAAATTACTTATTTTCCAAGAAACACTTCATACCAAACGCATTCTATCCTTAGTATGTAGTTAGATTGAGAATGATGTATTTTAAGCGTGAAAATACTCAAGTGTCGACCCAAAATTCCAACACTGCAGCCATGATGGCACCTAAAATTGCTTGCTAGGCAAGCTAACTCTTAATAATAAGAAATAATGAGCTAGTCTAACATGTAACATCATAATAAGACATAATGAAAGTTAAACTTAGTTACATATGATAATAAGTCTAACCATAAGCCTTTTACATAACCTCCTAAGATTTAGTGTCACGGAGTACATGAGCCACTAGAATACTACATATAAGGTCTGTACAAGAATGCAATAATGTTTGATACAAAAAAATGGTGGATAAGTGATAGGAATGAAACTCCAGGGTCTGCGAACGCCAAGCAGCACTACCTGAAGCCTCCTTAAAAAGGTCCGAGCAATCACCTTTGAACGCCGCTCGGATTAACATCGGAATCTGCACAAAAAGTGTAGAAGTGTAGTATGAGTACAACCGATCTCATGAACTCAATAAGTATCGGGCCTAACCTCGACGAGGTAGTAACGAGGCTATGACAAGACACTCACTGTAAACATGTACGAGCAATAAGCATAACAACAATAACAAGATAGAGAAACGGGAAACTACATAATGAATGCTATAAGAGAATAAATGATAGAGGGCCCCAAAATAACAACACATCACAACTTCAAAATATAACACGGTAGGGGAGCATAGTAACCAAGAACAAGTACAAGACATCCTTTATGTTGCGGTGCGTAGCCCGATCCAAATATGAATACCAATAAGTGTTCATACGGTTGTAGTGCGCAACCCAATCCCAATATCAATAACAATATTATTGCGGTGCGCAACCCGATCCTAATATTAATAACAATACCATTGTGGTGCGCAACCCGATCCCAATACCAATTTATTTAAAAATTCCCAATAATAATCAAATACAGAGAATCTTCATAACATAACATAAAAGAGAACTAATAATGCATAATTCACCAAGGAAATACGAGCACAAACAGAGAAGATCTAACAATCCAATGTTCATGAACTGTCCTCACAACATATGTCAATAAAGGCTTCAACAAGTCGTAAACACGAGAATAATCTAAAAATCATACAATCTAATATAACAAAGTTGAGTAAAACAAGAAACAAGTAAGGCAATAAGACATAAGATAGGTAAAAATATATATATAATAACATGCAGGAACATGTAACAAGTAAAGACGTACGATAAATAAAGGCATTTAATAAGTTAGAACATATAGCAATACAGACATTGAACAAGTGAAGGCACATATATCAAGTAATAACATGTATCAAGTAAGATCACATAATAAGTAAAAATACGAAATCAGTAAAGACATGTTATAGTTAAAGACATGCAATAAAGTGGTACACCCAACATGCTTGAATCCATGACGACGTATATACACTCATCACCTTGTATATACGTCGTCCCCACACATCGATCACGTAGCAAATAGACCAATCACATCCTAATTCTCTCAAATCAAGGTTAACCACAATATTTACCTCTTTCCTGAACAAGCCTCCAAACACGACTTTCCATTTAGAACAAGCCTCCAAATACGACTTTCCCTTTAGAACAAGCCTCTAAATCATCTAAATCTAGTCAGATGTTACTCAAAGAAGTCAAAACAAACTTTAGAAACTACCCTCGTATGGAAAAGGTTCGATCTTTAATATATTTTAAAAAGTCAACAAAAAGTAAACTCGGGCCCACATGGTCGAAATACATAAGATCAAATTCCAATTACACATTCCACCCCAAGTTCAAATATGTAATTTGTTTTGATATTCGACCTTAATTTGAGGTCTAAATTTTAATTTTACAATATCCCTAATTTCTATCCAAAAGTCCAAAACCCCAATTTCTATTCTATGAAATCTTAGATTTGATAGTGAAAATTCATGAAAAGGTAATGAAAATTGAACAAAAATAAGTTAAAGTTACTAATCTATGAAGTTAGGAAGAATTTTCCCTCCAAAATCGCCTATTGTGGAGTTGGTCTCAAAAATAGAGTAAAAATAGTACCGGTATAATTTATATATGCTAAATAGTGAAATAGTAATCCCAAGAAAAAGCAGTAAAATTAATAATATCAGAATTTTTAATACAATATACCAAACAATTAATAAAAAATAATACCAATATATTTAATACCATCATAATTCCAATACAACTAATCACAACATAAATAATCCCGACATATTAACTTGTATTTAAACAAAACGACCAGGTAACACTTCACAGTACTTTGTCCATCTTGGAATTATTCCTATTTAACATAGCATTTTGTGCTCTGGCGTCTTTGATTTGCCAGTTGAGGAGTTTTTTACCAGGTGTCTAATAAATGGAATACTAACAGTTCAAACATTTTCTGCAATGTCATATTATTAGGCTTATAGCAGGTTACATGTCTTATCTGCAAATGATTTATAGCAGGTTAATAGTATTATATTAAGCCAAAAAAAAAGAACTTTAGAAAAATAGTTTGAAGATTGAACATTGCTATGGACCTTAGTTCCGCTTGTACCAAGCCAATGTTTTCATCAACAAGAAAACATCACGACCTGACAGGCAGTAACATACAATGAAAATGTACACCTCAAAGGTTACACAGGTACCATTATAAAAGTCATACTCCGAACTCGCAATGGAAATCTACTAATAACATCTCCAACTTAATCCTCCGCTATTCCTGAAAGAAGCTACTTCCATAGTAAGGCTGCATCTGCCAGCCAACATGAAGGATCTGATTTTCCATGCTGTAACTTGTAGCTCAGGCACTTGTTGATGGACGTTTTTTTGAGTTATTCTTGGGGCGAACCTTCAAAAATGCCTTGTCCAAATCCTAACATAATGTAAATTTCCGATAAGGATATTTGAAATGACGTGTTATTCAGCCCAACAATCGTAAAGGAACTAAAAATAATTACCTGACCCTGGACAAGACCATGGTCCTGGTTTGATGCATCTGTGCTCCAAAGCCTCTCTAAGTTGTAGTATGCTCTCACTTTCTCATCAAGTGCATGGATTACTAATTTGCCTATTGCAGTTAAATAAAATCAACAACTGATAGTAGAATACTAAAGAGTTCAGCAGAATCTGAGAACTAACAAGTTTCGTAATTGACGACTAGTAAAATCACTTCCTGCACTCACTCATATTGATCTATGCAATTCATCACTATCAGATTACAGAAGGTAGCACTCTCAATTGGCCGAAAATAGTATTTTCGGCAAACTTGGTACATGTACATCAGACAAAATATAAGCACAAGTCAGTATCAACCTGACTTATATAATGGAAATCATAATCCAGCCACGGAGCACCTTACTGCTGAGTAACAGCATGAGAGATGGTAGAAAATGATTGTAGATTACAGTTCATCGTCCATATAGCACCAAAATTAATGTTAGAGGATACCCTTATTAAACTAGATCAACAAACCATGGAAATCAATTCTTTTACTAATACAAATATCACAACTGTCATAATGGCAGCGATTAGAAGCTAATGAAGTGTCATAAAGCATGAAAAATTGATAGAATTTAAAAGTTATATGATCAAATCAAGAACTCTTATAAGCGCAGAACCCTTGATGGACCACACCAATTGAAGCAACTTGGGAAACTACTTTTCCCTCTGACAAAGAACACTTACAAGCATGTATTTATGTTGCAAAAGCTCTTCAAAAAGTTCTACAGATAGATCTTTCTTGTAAAAAGTGAACCATCTTCAGAATTTACCTGAATGAATCCTCGGAAATAAATAACCACGTAATGCACAATGCTTTATCACATTTTATGAATCCAGATCCACAAAATTCTTTAAATTACCTAGATAGTGTTTCAAAAATGAAGAATTTAATACCAGAGTCGATTACAATCCACTTCCCCCCTTCTTGCCCTTCCACACTGGGTAACAACATTCTCTTTGATCCTTTCTGCTTTTGTTTAACCTGTTCATCAAACAAAATAAGTGAAGTTATAGAAAAGGAAGATGATTCTTCAAGTAAAATCGTTAAAATATTTATTCACAGTAGTTCAACACTAAACATGCATTGATGTTCATTTCACAGTTTATCTCCTAATAAACCGTTCTTACAAGTTCTCCTAACCTTGAACGATAAAGATGCACAGAACTTATTTCCAGATTCATTTTTCTTTGGATAAGATAACACATCAAAGCTATATGAGATGCTTGGCAAAAAGGCATGTATAGAAAGTTTCTAGGAGTCAACTAGTGTTGTCAAAGGCGTGCTTAAGCCTTGAAGCGATGTGCAAAACATGTTGAGCGCTTCGCCTCGCCTAGCGGGCACTTCAATGTCGTCATCAAGGTTCTAAGGCATACTTTTCCTTGTCAATAAGCACAATGCTGAAGAGGCGACAACGGACACTAAACAATTGATATTTCACTTTATCATTTTTTTTTAAAAATTTCTGTCCATATATTTGTTATTCGTGCTTATATTATTGGTGTTGGACTACACATCCATATTAGTATTTTTTCTCTATTTGTGTCTTTCTTTATTAAAGCCCACGCTTTATTTGCGGTTAAAGCCCCAACAGACCGTAGAGCTTTTTTGCGCTTTTCGCCGTTGATAACACTGGAGTCAACACAAGTAGATCTTCCTTTTGTGATAAGTAACAAGTTTCAAGGAGTCAACCACAGGTAGATACTCCTTTTCTAGTAAGTAACAAGTTTCAAGGAGTCAACCACAGGTAGATACTCCTTTTCTAGTAAGTAACAAGTTTCAAGGAGTCAACCACAGGTAGATACTCCTAATGTATATTCTTTCAAGAGCCCATAGTTGACAATTCATTTTACCAAAAATCCTATGTCTGGTCTAGTGAATCTGATATGTTGACTGTTATTTGCTTTTCATTCCTGTACTGTCACGAGATCCCACCGCTTTCTTGGTAGATTGCAAGCTCAATACTAAGATCGCAGCTAAAATTAATCACAGGCACTATATTCTTTTCTTTGGGAATACATTGATACCTAGGCTTCAATACCCATTATCAGTCACCTAACAGGTTCCTCAACTGACCTAACAAGGACACCAGAAAGTTCATCTTCCTTCATCTTTATCTGTCGCACATCCTTCCGCTCAATAAAACAGTATATATTACAGTGAGACAATTCCAGGTTCCACCAGCGGAATTGTAGCCTCTCCATCCGAAGGTTACCAGGATTGCATCTCTCTTTTTCAGTTGTGCTGTTGCATGCATTTTCCCAGTCCACAATCTGGAATAGACATTAATATTTCCCCTTTTCTAGTCTCTGTTTTCTCTTTTACAGACAAACTCCTCCCCTGAAATATGCAGTAAATTGCTATAATATGGTGAATCGTGTGAAGGTAATGTCCTTTAAGATGGAAGTGAACGAAGTAAAGGTCCTATCTTTTTTTTTTCTCTCAGACGCAGAGGCGTGTGCTAGCATTCAGCCTTGCCTGCAGGCACTGAGATGAGACATGCAATGCAGCAGAATGAACAATAGAGCTATGTCAGGAACTTCAGCTTTGCTAGCCTTTTCCTTTGCAGTGGCTATACCTCCTCTCACCCAAGCCTTTCACAAGCTTCAAAATGAAAACCAATAATTGAACAGACACCCCTTACCCAAGCTAAAATTTTAAAATGACAAGAATATCTGTTTTCTGATAGGGCATGACAGTTTAATGCATTTTCAGTTTTCCATTTCCTTTGACAGACAACAGTAGGTAAAGTTAGACGAATAAAATAACAAACACTCAACAGATTTCTCCTCAAAATACCCAAACAAAATAAGAACAGGGAACTTTCTATTTCTGGGAACAAAACTGGGATATTTGTGTAAGTAACACCGGTGCCCCCCNCTTGATAGACTATGCTAGTGGAAGCTGAGATACCTAGTGGATTATCCAGTGCGCGCAAGTTAGCCAGCCACCAAATTTATCTATACACACACACACACACACACACACAGAGAGAGAGAGAGAGAGAGAGAGAGAGAGAGACTAATCGCTGAATAAATGAAAAAGAAACTGAAACAGATCTCCACATTTCTAGTAGCTAAATTCACATTATTAATAGCAAGCAAAGGAAAACGAACCTGCCTTGTAAATTAGGGCTTGAGCAATGTTCCGAACGTGCCAAGCCGATCGACCAGTAGCAACAACCATGAAATCCGCAAAATCAACGTGTTTAGGTATAGGAATAACTTTGACGTTATCAGCTTTAACGTCTTTAAGGATTGTCTCCACTTCTTCCAGTTTCAGTAACTCTCCGCCGCGGATTTCTTCAACGTCGCCGTCATTGACGGCGGCGGACGATAGAGAGCGATTGAGCATTGAAAACCCTAGCTTCCATTGTTGCTGTGTTGCAGGGGAAGAAGAGAAGCTTCGAGATCTTACAACCGACCACATGGGATTACTGCTCTGCCGCACCGTGAAATGAATACAGCTAAACCCAAAACCCTTTATGAGAAGGAAATTTTCTATTCTTTTGAATTTGAGTTGGAGAATTTGGCTGTATTATTTTTATCTAAATAAATTTTGAATGATTAGATTCTACATTATTGATTAACCTCATTCTAATTTATCTAAAATATCAATTTGTTTATCTGATATTCACTTGTCACTTAGTTAGCTACAACAGTTAGTGCTTAACCATAGTTAGCTTTCATTTATTTTGTAGTACATGATAATTTACTATAATAATTAATTAATATACTTAATATCTAGCTATCTATTCTACTATGCACCTAACGATAATGTCTAGTAAATAGGAGAAAGAAAAAAAAAAACCATTGCCATGAATCAGAAAACTTGAAGTGGCACAAATTCTCCTTCTTTCTTAATATTCTAACTATGGTTATTCTAGTGCTAGTAAAATTTATTGATTAAATTTTTTTTTTCAAGTTAATGGCTTTCGCATACTTGTTTTTTAGTATAACTATTGTATAAGAAGAAGACAAGATTTTGCATTTTTGCCTAAGTATTTGACAAAGAAACGGGATTAGAACTTAGAGAAAGGGTGAAGGAGAGGATGAGAATTGAGAACTATGAATCTTTACTTCAGTACATAATAATCAAGCCACAAGATACAACAAATATGCTATTACAATATGATTACAGGAAATAAAATACAGATGATGATTGCAAGTTAGGTATTTGGCAACCCTAAGAGTTTGTAAGATAGAAGTAGTTGGGTTATTATGACTCTACTGGCTTCTTTTTTAATGTTTTATTTATTAAAAATAAAATTCCTAATAGACTTTAGTTTATTTTCTATGATTTAACTTAATTAGGCTTGGTGTAAACATCTGTTGCAAATAAATTTTTACCGTTACAATAAAGTATTTAAATTATATACATGAACAATGTAAATTTTACATTATTTGTATTATTACTAGTAAACTTTGATATCTGATAGTTAATTATCGATTTTATCAAATTATTACTCAATATTTATTAAGAGATTTACTTATAATTACTCAATAGTAGCCTAGTAGTGTAAATATTTTGTTACCGCAAACTCATAAATTAAATTCTCGAATAAGTGAGTTCCTACCGTATGATGAGTCGTCTAATTATTTTAGCGAAAATAATATTGACACGTTGAATTGATCTATGGGTTCAACCTATTTTAACTTGTCGATGTTTTGCTCGTTTGACACTTCTACATTTTGCCCGAAAAAACTAAATTTACGTAGAAGTTATATTGCATAAAATTACTTTTTTAAATTATATATTACTCCACTTTTAACAATTAAAAGGTAACGATGACAATCTACCTAGAAAAAATATCATAACGTAGGGTGCTTAAACATTACTTATTAATTTTCTTTGCTTTAAGTCCCAAAAAATCCACGTAAACAAAAGGCGAGTAATAAGCAAGATAAATAGCTACAGTTAATCTTTTTCTCCACATCCCATTAATTATATCTTAGCAACGTGTGATATAATCCACAACCCATTAATTATATTTTCGCAACTTGTTATATAATAACTAGTGAATATGTTAAATTAACGACATAGTTTTTTTTCTTTAATACCGAAATATTAAAAGAGTTGCCGACATTAGACACTTGATTTTGACTCTCTATTTCAATTGTTTTCTTGAGATTTCTAGTAGATACGTTTAAGTTAAATACTTCTATTTTCACAGTTTAGGAATTTAATAAATCTATATCCAAGTATTATTTTACTTTTCCTTACCTTCTATAAAAGAAAAAAAGAAAGAAAAAGAGCAAAAATGGTTTAGCATTTAATATTTCCCATTACCTTGACATTTTTGAATTTTTTTTTTCTCCGATGACATTTTAAAAAAAAATTCTTTCTTTTTATTTTCTCCTTTTATTTCTAATATTTCATACTCTTCAATTCCTCCATAAAACCAGAAATTATTATCCTTCTATCAATAACCAAATCAACGATCCTCCTCTTACCAATCTTATGGAAAATTTCAAAAAAATTAGTACTTTCTTGATTAATTTCTCGTACCACTCATATACGCCTATTCTATATTCTACATACATAAAGAGAATTCACTTTATTATAATCATTCCTAAAATTAAAAAAGATGGCATTTTTACACCAAACAATAGGCAAAATTATTAGTACACATGAATCCACGCTATAGTTACGAGCATGCAACAGATTAAAAGTAATAAAATATGTATATATTACCGATGAGCTTCTCATCAAGCTTGTATTTGACTCCCTCAAATACCGTCACTTGTAGATTCCTTAATCAACAGCCAAAAAGATTTAAAAATGAAAGAACATTTGGGAGGAAAAAAAGAGGATCTTTCTATAGAGAGTGTTGAAGCACTTCTCTTAAATTTTTCAATTGTTGGAGCAATTTCTCTCAAACTTTTAATTGTTGAAGCACTTTCTCTTCAACTTTCAATTGTTGGAGGCTTGGAACACTTTCTCTCCGACTTTCAATTGTTGGAGGCTTGGAACACTTTCTCTCCGACTTTCAATTGTTGGGTACTTGTCATCAATCTTCTATTATTTATTTGCTCATTTTTCTCCAATTTTTAGATAGAAGTTTCTTTCTCTTCCTTTATTTTTTAAACTTGCACTATTTTTTCTTAATTTTTCTCAACATGATTACTTTTTCATGCATATATTATTGATCCGGTGATCTCATACACTTCTTGATTTAGGGACATGTTATATGTCACCAATTCACCTTCTAAATTACCAAGTCTTGAGGTGTTAAGATCCATGTTAGCCCTAAGAACTATTGTTTTTGTGTGAAATTTTATACATAGAGGCTGCAATATTTTTTTCAATAATTTTAACTTCTTCTTCATACTTCTCCATTGGTCCTTACACTCTCGACAATTTCTTCAATTCTTGTAAAACGTTATTTGACAAACTCTGTTGGTCTCATCTGAGCCAACTCGAATTGTCTCCTAAGCTCTTATAATTTTTCCTTCTTCACATATGCAATACTTCAATGTGATTTTACCAAGATTGTCTTGACCTTCTTTGCTTACTTTGCATGCAAAAGATTTATTAGATACATAGCAATTCGGCCTTATAATTTAAATATCTATTTTTCTCCAATTGTCTAGTTGCTTTAGCCGTCAGTGTTGTGCCTTTTGGGGTTCCACAACTTCTTTGTTAATAATGGACCACAATCCAATAACATTAAAAATTATTCATCTAGCAAGTTTTAAAATTGTTTAACACAAAACAGAACAATCGTGTAATAGAATATTCAAACATTGATAAAGAGAAGAAAGTTTTGTGACGGAAAAGATGTCGATAAACATTTATAGTAACCAATACAATTGGTAACTTAAGTTGAGTAATATGAATAGAATTAATAACTTATACTGAGCAATTGTTGTAATATAATTAGCATTAGTGCACTAATTGTAATAAAAATTAGTTATAAACGTACATTGCATCATAATAATGTATTAACTATTAAGTATTGTTTTTGGATAATCAAAGACGAAGCAACATTCTCTTCTAGAGAGGTGCTTGATGCACGCTAAAGGCAAGGTACATCTATAATAATTGATGGAACTTCTTTTTAAAGAGAAAAAAAAAAACTTGAGTCGTATCGTCTTCCCTAAAAGGGTGGGTATTGCATCTGTTACAACTTTAATTGCAACTAATATAATTTTCATCATATTGTAACTGCCTAAGATACAACAAACCTATTGCAACCATTTCATTCTTTCTCTAAAGAAGAAAATATATATTTAGTAGAAAAATAAGAGGAAAAAAGCAAAAAAAATAAAAAGTAAGAAAGAGGATAAGTACTACATAACCAAAGAGAGGTGTCAAGTCGGTATTCTTTATCCTTCCTTTATATAGATATATAGATTCTTATGTTTGAAAACTTACTAATAATTTGGTAACTTCATAGAGTTAATATCTAAAAAAATACGAATATTTCTAGTTTATTGATAAATATATAACATGATATTCATTTCAGATCAAGGTTTCCTCGAAAACAACCAAGAGGTCAACAAATCAGTATTCCAACTTTTAATGTGAAAGTTCGAACTCAAATATAATAAAAATTACAAATTAAAATAAATACTAGTAAAGTAGTATTACCAATTAAAGTTTGTTTAAGTAAATATATATAATAGGTAAAAATAAAAATATACACGCGTACGGGATATCATATTCCATATATTTTATCATATCATATTCATTCAAAATCACATCACTTAATAGGCTAACATGGACATTGGATGGAGAAAGGTTACTAAACTTATTATCCATTATGTGTAAAGGGTAAAATATGTTCATAGTAAATGCTCGCATAATAAAGCGTCACGTGGAGCCAAAGGCAGATGAAAAGCGAGGCAAATGGCAATCAAGTCCGAGGGCAGCAATCTCGTTTGTTCCCGAAGGGAATGTTGCTCATAATGACAAAATAAATGTCTGTCAGTGGGTAACATTTAATGGAGAATATTCTATAGCATTAAGTACGTAACCCGTTATAGAGAATATGTCATTCATAGCCTGCCATTATAAATTCTTCAATGGCCCCCATAATTGTCATTTAAGAGGGGCTTGATTCTAGGACCTTGTTCCATAGGAGCAACTATAAGTAGTGAGTTCAACAACAATTGTAGGGGACAGAAATTTTCTGACAAACTTATGCTATATACTGTTTAAAGCTCAATAATATTTTATCTTCTTGCTTACTAAGATCGTTATTATTGCCTCCGGAAGCTCTGCTCCCGGAACCAAGATTTATGTTGTCTTATCTCGATTTCAACGCCTCCGAGGGGCGAAGTCGGCTTCGACAGGGCTGGGGGAACGATAGCGGATCTGGTAACAACAATGAGAATGATCCCTTTAAAATCGAACTCATGCAGTTTATGAGGGAAATAAATGCCCGAATGATTCAAATTTCGGATGCACCACCAGTATTGAAAGGACTGGACTCAAAGAAATACACCCAGTTGCCGTTCAAACCAAGCGCGATACTAGAATTGATACCAAAGCGGTTCAATATGCCAAACGTGCCGAAGTATGATGGGACTT